TTTCCCACCCCTCCCCCGGCCGTTCGCTACCTGCCGTAGATTCCCTCGGCGATGCGGTTCCGCTTGAGCGGCCGCCGCAGTTTGCTGCAGTCCGCGCTCCGCCGCTTCATCCTCCCGCCGCCTCCGGCCCCGCGCCGCCCCGCTCACGGCAGCACCATGCGGCCCTCGGCTTCCTCGCGCGGCGCGGCTGCCGTCGTTTTTCTGTTTGGTTTTTTTTTTTCTTTTTTTTTTTTTTTTTTTTGTTTTTTCGGGGTTTTTTTTTTTTTTTTTTTCTCTCCTCCCCCTCTTTTTTTTTTTTTTTTTTTTTTTTTTTTTTTTTTTTTTTTTTTTTTTTTAATAACCCCGGGAAACAAAGAAATAAAAATAATTCCTGGTCGGTCCCTCCCCGCCGCGTCCCCCCGCGCAGCCGCCGCGCAACGACCCGCCCTCCCCGACGCTGTCCAATCGGGCGGCTGGTGACGCAAGAATGACGGCTCTCTCAACCAATCGGAGGCGGAAAAAGGCAGACGGACGGCCGAGGAGGCCTATGAAAGTGCCGCGATATTGGTCCCGCCCCGCGTCACCGAACGGCCTGCCCACGCGCTTGATTGACGGTCACGAGAGCCCGTCGCAGAACACGGATTGTGAATTGACGGCTCTTCAACCAATCGCGAAGCAGTTCTTGCTCTCTTCCCGCCCACTGCCCGTCTGCGCTGGTTCCCGTCCCGTGCTGTGATTGACAGCAAGGCTGCCCAATGGGAAAGAGGAGGAAAACTCAAAGGACAGCTCAGCTATCCATTCGGAAGCGGAAAAAGGAGGGCTTAATTTCCTCTGTCACCGTAGCTCTGAAGGGCCGCCCCTCACACTTGATTGACAACCTCGCTGACAAATCACTATCGTAATCCTCGGGGAGCGCTGTTCTTCCGTAACAACGCAGCCCCGTCCCGACGCCTCTCAGGAGGTCTGGAGGAGGTGCGAGAAAAAAAAAAAAGAAAACCAAACAGCGGAGCGACTGCAGCGAAGAAACACGTTCAGGAGAGTGGCAGGAGAGCGGCCCAATGGCGGGGCAGGAAGGGGCGGGGCAACGCGGCCGTCCCATCTCCGATCGGTCCAAAGACGGACGGTGTTTGGCGACGGACCAATCAGAGCCCAGGAAAGCTGCTAGCATTCGGCCAATGGGAAACCCGTCCCTAAGGCAGGGCCTGTGAGTGGGGAGGGGCGCTCAGCCAATGGGAAGCGGAGGTGGAGCGGAACTTCCGTTGTCTCCGCCCCTTCCGGTTAGGCCTGCCTTGTCACGGGCGGCGCCGCCCTCAGTTTGTACTGCAGCCACGCGGGGCTGCGTGGCCACCCGGCCTGCGAGCGGGGCTTCGAACCGCGCCTGGCTTCTTCCCTGTGCCGGGGCTGCGTGCGGGTCCTAAGCGTAGTCTCTGGTGGATGGGTTCGGGCTGAGGAGCGCGGCCCTGCTGTGGCGTTAAAGCCTGTTCGGTTCACGGGGGGATTTGAGGCAAAAAGTCCAGAATCAGCATTTACAGCGGGACGGGAGGATCCCAGGAGGTGTGCTGTGCAAAAAGTCACGTTGTAGCCTTCGGCGTGTGTTCCACCAGAGTGTTCGTGCTGCCAGGAGACTTGGGACTTGGTCACAAATGTCAAAACTAATAATAATAATAATAAATTTTTGCTTGTTTCAGTCATGCAGAATGGTGGCTGGAGTTCTGAATCCTCAGCGTGCTTCCCAGGTGGTTGCACTGCAGATGGGAGATGTGTTGATAAAGCACACGCAGTCACTGCATCCGCCAGCTCTGCACCTTGTAGGTGTTCCATAGCAGCTCAGCTGACGTTGAGTCAAGTCTGAGTTACCCAACATGGTCACCAAATCCCCCCAGAAAGGAGCTGGATGCAGATCTTCCATGGGACATAACAGCTTCTGCCATGTAGCCCTGCCTGTGTGCCCCAAACGTTCGCTTTGGTGGCTGCTTATTTAAAGAAAAAGCATGTGCCAACCTAAAGGCTGAGAACCCTCAAGGCATTGGGTGCCTCGTAGCCACGGTGGGGCAATGGAAGTCGATGCGTTTCTGAATGCAGGTCAGGTCTGAAGCAATCAGGTTGGTTCTCAGTTAAAAGCCTGCAGTGCGTCTGCTTGCAGTTTCCAGGCCTGGGGTTACCCATGGGGATGTGGGTGTTGGGTTGTAGCCTAACGAAGCTGAGAACCACAATCAGAATCTCAGCAGGGCATTTCCTGAAGTAGTGGTGGAGGGCCTCAGGTCTGGACTACAGTCTGGACTATAAGCAATATAAAGAAATAATGATATTGCGTGAGCTTCAGCATCCCACGGCTGTGAGTCTGCATGTCTGCATGTTTTTCTCACCGTTCAGCTGATACGTGAGGAGCCACAGCAGCTGGACCACTGTGAGGATGGTATCCTGCAGAATTGCAGGATCGACCATTTGGCATGGTTCTGTTTGTGAGTACTTTTGAGTTTAGTCCATGTCAGCTAAGTTTGGGCTCCTGACGTGCACCAGATAAGGAATGTTCGTTGCCAATGCCTCTTGGGTTTTTTATCTCTCTTTTATTCCCCCTCCCCCCTCCTTAACTGTTGGTTTGAGCTGACACAAACATTGTTGATAGAAGAAAGTATTAAGGTGTTTGTGCCTAAGTATCATCTGGTGCACAATGCCTTCTACTTACCTCAGCTTCCGATGCAGCGTGCCGTGGTTGATCATTTCTGTGGAAGCTGTCTTCGTCGTCTTTTATTTTTTGTTCTCAGACATGCTTACATTCTTTACCTACTCAGGTAAGACTGCTCACCTTGCCATGAAAGGAAGGACTGAATGCATGCTTTTATTTTGCATTGCAGTAGAGTTGGGATGGATGGTTTTGTGTATTTGTTAGTGAGAACGTTTGTGCTGCCCTTCTGCTGCCCTGCTTGTATTCTTTGTCATTATTTATATGAAAGCAAAGACAGTCAACAAAGTCATACGTGAGAGAAATTGCATTGCTCATCTGTTTTCTGCTGTCTCTATGTGTATAAATTCAAACTTCTGAGGACAGGCAGTGCTGCTCTCAGTGCAGAACTCTGGTGAGGTCTCAGCATGTGAAACAATTGTAAAACTAACTTTGAGTATGGTATCATCTTTCTATTTTCTTATGGAAGAGAAAGAAAGCTCTGGGTTTCTTTAAAACTAGTTAATAATGGTGCCCATTTTTTAACAGAAAGATTTCTTAGTTAATTGTCATTTTTTAAAAACCAGTCTGCTTGAATCACTTCAGTGCTCTTCTGCTCTTTTCTGTCACACAGATTTGCAGGATGTCAGCCACATGCTGATTATTGGATTTGGTTTTTTCCTGACGTTTTTGAAACGATACAGTTTTAGCAGCATGGGATTGAACCTCCTGATCATCCTACTTGGCTTCCAGTGCTCCATTCTGATGGAGAATGTATCACTTTTCCTGACAGGAGGAATGTTGGGAGGTAGTCTGCACAGGTAATTAGTTCTTGTTAGAATTAGAATCACCTGGAGCTGCTGATGCCTTTTATTCTGGGGTAATGCCTCGCTGCAATGACCATTTTGTGAATTAGCATGGTCATCTGCAGACTTTTTGGAGGGTTAAGTGCATTTTGCTGTCTGTTGTTCTTTCTTCATTGCCTGAATATGGTCCTGACATGCAATTGTATTTTTTTTCTCTTCTCTTCTTTCCTTTCCTTCCTTTCATTACAGCATAACGCAAGCTGCTATGAACGTGGTTGCTGTGGTCATCTCCATTGGAGCTGTTCTTGGGAAGATTAATCCCATGCAATCAATTGTGATGACAGTTGTAGAGATAGTAGTTTTCTGTATGAGCAAATTGATCAACATGTATATCCTGAAGGTACAGTAGTATGATTTCCAGTAACAGGAGGGAAAGTTTCACAGAGCCTTTGAAACACTGCTGTTTCCACTGACTGATACACGAGCTCACTGTGGACAGCAGAGGCAGAGCTGCATTTAACACACACTGTAAAGGTACTCCAAGCTCTTTGTAGATGAACTGTGTGTTTATGAGCTACAGTGAGCTCGCATAAATTAATGTGGCATTAAAAACCCACACTTAAATTATAAACCAAGTGACTGTTTTGACAAATTCTTCATAGGGAGGTTGCATGAGTTAACTATGTCAGAATCTGCATCGAAGAGTTCCTGTGGCATAAGATAGCTTACAAATGTAATTACTCTATTGATACAGGCTTCATATCTTGTAAGCATGATGCATGTTCACCTATTTGGGGCATACTTTGGTCTGGCTGTCTCCTCACGTTTCTCTGAGCCACCACCAAGGGCTGAGAAGAATGCAAGTACTCCAAAATCGGACTTACTGTCAATGCTGGGTGAGGCATTTGGTTTAATGTTGCAGCTGGGAAAAGAGATTGCAGTGAGAGCAGGAGGAAAGCATAACTGCAGGTTAACTGCTGCCCTCTCTCAATTAAGTTGTCCCTTTGGGGCTTGTATGGACATTTTGGTCAGGGAGCCATGCGCTGAAGTTATGACTTGTACTTCAGTAGTGCTTAGAGTTCCCATCTGGGGCTGAAATGCCGTTTGCTACATCAAGGTGCTGTACAATGATATGAAAGTGCAGTCCCTGCCTAGTCCTGTGAGTGGTAAGATAAAAACCTGCTGAAAGGTGGGGAACAGGATACAGGCAGGCACATGATCTGGCTGTACGTATGACATTGCAGTGCTGTGTGCAATACCATGTTTCTGGGGAAGATGTTGGTATAGCAGCCAGCTCTTGGGGCTGTCTGCACTGCAAAGGACAGGAACTACTCTTTGGTCACAATGAGGAAGTTGAAATGAATGCAAAAATAGGGGTTGGAACCATCCAGAGACAGCCTATGGTAGATATACCGTGTTTTAGGGAAGGTAATAGTAATTGCTTGTCTTTGTCTCCAAGGCACTCTCTTTCTTTGGGTGTTCTGGCCAAGCTTCAACTCTGCACTGGCTGAGGAAAAGGATAAAGTGATCTTTAACACCTGCTTAGCACTTGCAGTAAGTGCTGTAACTGCCTTTGCCTTGTCTGGTCTGATCACAAAGGATGGAAAATTCAGGATGGTAAGACATGAGGGAAAATGATGGTATGGAAAAACTGTTGTTCTGTTACTCTCAGTAATACGTTGAAGGGAATAATAGCTATTAAATAAAAGCAAATCTGAGTTTTCAAACTGGCAGCCATCATTAGGCTGCCAAGCAGAAGACTGAAGAAACTGTAAGTGAGAAATGGTATTCTCTGATGGTAACTTACAGTACACAGAAGTCCAAAATCAACCTAATGTACTGCTGCAGAACAAGCAATGACTGAATTGTCTCTTTGTTTTTATTACTTTGTTTTACAGACTCATATCCACAGTGCAGCACTAGCTGGTGGGATTACTATTGGTTATGCAGCAGACAGTATCGAGTATCCCTGGATTGCAATGATTTTGGGTCTCCTTGCTAGTGTGATAAGCATACTAGGATCTCTCTGTTTACAGGTAACACTCAAAAGCCTGAAATTCCTTTTTGTAGAAGTCCTGTAAACTTATTTATTTTTCCAATATGACATACCTCAACATAAACCTCTTTTTGAGAAGATTAAACCTGAAGTCTTGACCAAGATGTGGGATTGCAAGTTAAGAGACCGAAGTTAATTTCCTAGCTCTAAGATAGACAGTGTCCAGTTACCAACTTGTGTTCTTGTGTATCACTTAATTTTTTTCCTCTTCCCAGAGTTGCTTGCACCCTACTCTCAAGATTCATGATTCATCTGGAGTTCATTTCACGTTTGGTTTGCCTGCTGTGTTTGGAGCTCTTGCCCAAGTTATTTTCTGGGTAATGGAAATCCAGACTGAATTACCAAGGTACATAAATGTTTGCCCTTAAGTATAATAAGTTTATCTAATATTACTGGAGGGTGCCCTGAGTGGAATTCTCATAAATACAGAAGGATTGGAAGTCTTCACAGATAAATCATATTATGTTAGGTTTTAGTTCTAAATTTGGTCCTTTATATTAAGAGCAGTGTACATAGGAGGTGAAGGCTGGGAAAATGCATCCTTCCCAGATGTTTTGGGAAAGCTTTGTATACTATTACAGCAAGGGAGAAAAAAAAAGATGAATTTTATCCAAAAGAGTCTTTAGCATATAGGCAAGGGCTAACACCAGTCTGGACACCCAACTGGAAATATGCTTGGGGGAACACCACACAAAGGGCTCACTGAAGGATAGTTCTCCATAGAATGTCATGACCTGGCAAAAACATCTCATTTTCACAAATCAAGCCCATGTTGTATCATACAAGAAGTTCTTTGGTTTTCTCAGCTTACACAGGAATGAATCACAGTGCAACAGAACTTGGTTGTAGGCTTCTGCTCAGCTCTCTTAAAATATCCAACTGCAGCTGTATAAAGAGTTGAAAATGGGAATTGTGATGTGAGGTTTTGACAGAAGATCCGTGCACAGGGACCACTTGGGGCAGACACATCCACAGGCTGAATGTTAGAGTCAGCAACTGTCAAAGGTGAAACACTTGTTTTGCTTTTCAGCATTGGCTCCAGGGTCGTATTGAACATCGGTGCCTCCTGTTTCACCATCAGTGTTGCCTTGATAACAGGTCTTATTACAGGTAAGCATGAAAAACGTGTTTCAGTAACATCTTCCACATTTTCCTTTGTGGCAAGGGCTGTGTCTTCCTACTGCAGCTGTTATTGTGTCAGTGTCCTTTGCCAAAAGACACCAGTGCAACTGGGGTGCTAATGTGTGCTTCTGTGGACAAGGATTTATGTAGAAGAAACAGTTGGAAACTTGAACACCAAGGACTCTTCCTGGATAGGCTTTGAAGAAGAGATGTATTCAACGTAACCTACCAGCAACATTTTTTCATTGGTGAAATTTATTCTGCAGATGTTTAACAGCTGCCTTCAGTTTACAGACATGAGATGTGTGAGGATGAAAATACATTTACGTTTTGGTGTAGTCTTGTTGACAGAAAAATGCTACCTGGATCTTCTCATTTTTTAGGCCAGTTGCTGTAAATCTGCAGACTTCCACTCATATCAGCAGCTTGCACGAGGCAGACACTGCTCCTTTGGTTGCTGGGGGTTTGGGATCATCAAGGCTCATGTGTTCCTCACATGACATACTGTTGGTTTTATGGCAGCTGCAGTTGTTCTAAAGCTTCTAATTCTGGTTTGAGGTGAAAACTGCTGTAAAATATACTCTAAAATGATCTTTTAAAATGCTTTAATTGATCTGCAACTTTGCATTAGCTCACGTGTAGTTAACAGCTAATGAGTTTTTTTTAAAAAACGATCAACTAAAACAATCATTCAGTGGTTACATGTACTGAAAACCCAAACTAACAGTGCTGCTAAGCCTGTCTGCTTTAAACACACAGCTTTCGTGTGAGAAGTTAAAGACTTTTCATGTATCCTTAGAATCTGGTAGGCTGTTTAATGGATTTTTACCTATAAGCTTCTCTGTACTTAAGGTCAGTTTGAGTCACAGGGCTCTGCTGAAGTGTTTTGTTCTGATGTTGTGTTTTAGTCTATGTTACATTTGGATGTGTGTTATCAAGAAGCCTTCAGTTACACAGCCTTCCCCTTTCCATGATACATGTGTAGATGTATATCCAATATATGCGTTTTTACAACTAGGTTTAATCCTAAACCTCAAACTGTTGAAGCCCATCCCTGTCTCCAAGTATTTTGAAGACCAGATGTATTGGGAGGTAAGTTTCTTTTCCATGTAAGATTAGCCAGGTGGCAGTATACATAGCATCCATTTCAGGGTACATTTGAATGCCCTCTTTGTTCAGCTGTCTAAAGCCTGAATATTATAAATGTATGCATTCTTCAGATAGCATTCCTGTTGGTGGGCACATGGCTAAACGTAACACACAATATACATGCTCAGACATTCCTTGGAGTGTCAAAGAGTAGGGTTTTTACAAGGCAGTTCTATGGATGGAAGGTTCTTTTTATGAAAACTCCTGGCCTTCATTGGGTGTTGAGTGCATAAACACAGACCTTGTGCACATTTAGGTGCTGAATGTGATCCTCTACAGAACCATGGAATTTGAAATAAGCTCCTGCTAAGGTTCTGCATCACCTCTTCCATGTGTTGATTTAATGTTGATTGATAAAAAGTTCTGATACAAGAATGTCTGTCTTCACAGTTTCCTCATTTGGCTGTTGGATTTTGAATGGATGAACCCAAGTGGAAGACTTGACCAAGATCTGTATTTGTCACTAGAGAAAATGAGTAACTATGATGAAACAGCACTTAATTATTAGCACACTTAAAAAAGCCTTCCCAATGGACACGTGAAAAATTTGCAACAAAATGTTCATTATTTCTGAACAATCAGCACATATATTTACAGATGGAGAACGTATAACCCATTTTCTTTTCTGTTTTGACAATTTTACCTTAAATATTTTTGTAGTATGTGTACAGAAAGCTGCTGTCATGGCTTATCAATTAAAATGCTTGGAAGCTTTTAAAGCTGTATTTAGTTCTGAAGTTTAAAAGTCCAAATCTGTGCAATACACACTTGTTCTGATCTAGTGAAGTGCTGAAGTTCTTATTTATAAGTTCAATTAAGTTCTGTTGAAGGCTTTGTTAAGCAAAGATTTGATGACTGAGCCAGACCACAGCCGGAACTCCACACTGTGCCAGACTGAAATCATGTTACCAGAAAAATCTGTTCTTGGCTCAGCCAAAATTTGCAAGATCTGATGGCAAGAAATGACAAGCAGAACCTCCTGGGTTTCACTGGGGGGTGGTCAGCCTGGAAAAAGATCTGGAAACGATTCCTTAAACACTGCCAGCTAAAGGCCTTACCTTGGATTTAAATGAAGTAAAGCAGATACGTGCTTGTAGAGTACTTCTACATGCAGGGGCTTTGGTGCATGAGGCACAGCCTGCTCAGTCAGAGGATGCTGTGCAAACGTGTTTTTAAATGGATGGTGGTCCTAAGCTTTTTCTTCATTTCAAAATAGTTGACATTTTTTTCTTTAACTGCTTACATAATTAAAGAAGTGGAACCTTGGTTGTTTTTATTTACTCATCACACTTGCTTAAAAATGAAGGAATGAGGCAAACTGTAACACTGAAAACAAGAGATGGAGTATTTGATGCTTGCTGCAATGTTTGCTGACATCTAATTAATTCATTAGGGAATAAACAAAGCAGATCACTGCAATTAAAGGAAGTTGAGACAGAGTTCCAAGTAACTTGTAGAGGAAGTGTCACTGTTTCTTATTTCACAAAATAGCCAGCGATCTACTTATTTATCAGCTGCATGCAGCTTTTACCAGCTGACAGTGCCATTCAGCACAGATATCTACACGTTTATATGCTTCCTTATCACACATTTAGCACATTACTGCCCTGGAAATACTGTAATCCAGGCTGAACTTGCGTCCTTCAGTTCCTTACATTCCAGCAACCCAATGAACATAACTTCTTACGTGCTTCTGCTGTCTTCCAGCAGGAGTGGTGGTAAAGAATAGTATTTCATTCTTCTGTTTCTTTCCCATCTCTTTGCTCCCTGATTTCTTGAGCATGTAACCAAGATGTGTGTATAGGATGGGGCAAAACTGCTCCTCTTGTATCTCAGAGTTCAAATGAATATGGATCAGAAATCTCTCTTGCAGGCCCTGTCCCTGGTTTAACTCCCAGCTGAGAGTGTTCTTCCTTCTCATTATTGTGATTAGGAATTAAGTTTACAGCAAGCTTTGTGGATGAGCTCCTTACAGCCAGAACCAGTACATAACTTGAACCTGTGTCTCTACAGTGTCTGCAGCAACAGTGAGTTGTTCACTACCCTCACAGCCATTGTATTAAACACTCAGGGAAAAACACAGTCCACAGCAGCACAGCTTCATGCAGGAAAAAACACAAACCAGTCAAATCTGAAAGTGAAGAACTGTTTATATTGTCCAGATATAGGAAATACTTAATAAATATATGTTAAAAATTTGTTTTAAAGCAAGTAGGACTTGGGTTGTAAATATCATAGAAAGTATTAAATGGTTAAATGCATTAATCCTCCACTATTCTATTTACTTATAGCAAACATCGTACAAAAGTGACTTCCATTGCTACTTGTAGCAGTTTTGCATGTCAGAAACATTACAACATTTAAATCAATATAACTGTTTTTAGGGTATTTTTTTTTTCCTTAAAAAAAAAAAAAAAAAAAAACAACCAGGATTTTCAGTGCGATGATTTCACTTCTCCATGTTTTACCTTTAGACACAATTGAAGGGCACCGTATACAAAATGGTTTTACAAAATTTCCAGAATACACAGTTAAAAAAATGACATGGCCAATGCACTTCCATCAGTGTGCTCACTGCCACAGATCCTCTGTGCGGCCAAATTTGAAGACCAGTCCTCTGTTTGAAACAAGAAAGGCATGTGAGCACGTAAGGGGCAGATTAAATACCAAATAATATTTTCAATACGTTATTTCTGGGAGCAAGTTGTAGTATTTGTGAACCCACGTCCTGTTCCTGCAACAAAACCTACACAGGCAGATCACTGAGAGCCCTCAGCAGCATTTTATTCACCCACATCTAGTTGCAAAAAAATAGAGCTGAAATAAAACCCAGACTGCAGCAAGCTTTGGTTTTGATCGTTAAAAACCAATTAGGTAAGAAATGAACAAAGGATGAGAAGCTTACCCGAAAAAGATGAATGCATTCTGGAAAAAAACAGCAATTCCTGGGTACACGACTGCTTTCTCTAAAGGCAAACAAAACAAAACACTCCATTAATTTTTCAGAAGTCCTCTTCTCTTCAAAGAGACCCCATTTTACAACGGAGTCCAGCTGCTACCACAGAACAAATCTGATGGGTTGTTCTCTCAGAATTAAGAGAGCACTGTGCATCTTTTGCATCTGTTTCGTTCTCTGACAAGATGGTTCCCTCCCATCTGTTACCCCCACTGCAAAATAATTTCAATGGCTTTTGTGCCTCCCCCTCACTTATTCAGCTTTCCAAATAACTGAAGCAATAATCAAAGATGTGCATTCAGATCTAACACTCATGAAGACTGTCATTATTGTGTGGGATTGCATGCCCAGTTTGGAGTGCACTTGTGTAAAGTGATACACATACATGTGCACATTCACTATGATAATAAGCCAGAGAATGGAGCAGTGGCATGAAATCAGTGTGCCCAGGTGTCCCTGAAAATCACCTCTGAACTGAATAATGCCCAAGACTAAAGAGAACATATATTAAAACCCAATCACTGTGCCCTAGTGAGCATGAAATTCATTTCCAGGCCTGAGCAGCAGCTTTTTGTCTGCTGATTTGTCCCCACCAAGAGGAATCTGCTGCAGTTTCTATGACTTTCTCAAGACTTGTCTTCGTAAAATTACCACAGCATAAAGTAAGCTGTGAACTTCTACAAGCAGTTTGCTGGCTTAATGTATAGGCCTGGGGAACAACCTGCACCAAACTGGTCACTTTAATTCTGTAAAGAGGTGTTTGCTCAGAATTAGTCCTATATAACATAAGCAGTTCAATTATTTCATTGCAGTCTCCCATGTGACTCAGCCCTCTGTTTCTACTAAGGCTATCTGGAAGGTTTGTGCCCTACAAAACAGAATGACAAAAGCTTAAATAACAGAAACGGGATCTTAAAGTTCTCCATACGTTAGAAAAAAGAAAAAAAAATGGAAAGGGAAGAACTAGAAAGAGTCAGGCCATGTTGTATCTTACCTTTAACAACGTATCCTCCAAACAGAATCCACATGGAAGCAATCAGAGAGCCAAAAGCCATCATAAAGCCAATGAAGAGCCAGATCCGAGCACCTTAAAAAAGACACATGGATGTTCTGTGCCCATCCCTGAATACAGACACCAGTAACTTTCAAGATGCTTTAGTTTCAGAGCAGCTTATGTGACCAACTCCAGCTATGCACATAAACCAGTGCACACCCTGGTACAGCTATTACAGCTCTTCCAAGGATTACTGACTGCACTTATTTCTGTGTGCACACCACTTACCTGTCTGTCCCAGGCAGCCTTCGCTGTAACTGTCACCCCGCACTTGTCCGTTAGACACTGCATTGATCCTGAGTGTGAAAAACAGGATGAAAAAGGGTAAAGATAAATAAAGCAAGAAGGAAAATATTTGTAAAACAGGAGGAGAAACTTCTCATTTAGACAGTAATGCGTTTCTTAGACGCATTTTATTTTTCAGAATGTGGAACAATGCTAAAACTTCAACTCATTGCTCTGCTTTTCTCCATTTTTAATGCTTTTATCTGTATGCTACTCCATTTTTAATGGCTCCTTACCACAGGCAAATGTAAGGCACATGATCCTAGGCTGCATCGAATGAAGCATGACCAGCAGCTTGAGGGAGGCGGTTCTCCCCCTCTGCTCTGCTCTCATGAGACCACAGTGCAGTGCTGCATTCAGCTCTGGGGCCCCACCATAAGAAGGGAAGGAACCCTTTTTCAGTGAGTGTAGGAATAGCACAAAGGGGAATGGTTTTAAGCTAGAAGGGGGAAATTGGATGAGATGTTAGGAAGAAATGTTATCACTCAGTGAGTAATGAGGCCGTGGCACTGCTGCCCAGAGCTGTGGGTGCACAGAGGCAGTGCCCAAGGCCAAACTGCATGGGGCTTTAGGCAGCCTGGTCCCAGCTTATGGTGGAGGGGGTGGGGGTTGGACCTAGGTGATTGTTAAAACCCCTTAAACCCAAAGCATTCTGTAATATTAGCAACACTCAGACCCTGACTTGTTACTTTCAGTTATCTCCAAATTTAAAGACTAGATTTCAAAAAAAAAATTCTGAATTTCACCAAATTTTTAAGTGTGCACAGCTCTGATCAAGATGTTACACTTACATTAGGAATGCAATGGTGGCTATAACCCCACAGGCATGATATGAATGATTGAAGTCTTCCATGGTAGGGTATTTTACAGCTGCATCTATGATTATCCACCAACCTGTAAAAAACTGTAAAAAGCAAAAGTACTATAGTTTAAAACACAGATAGAAAAGTTTTGACCAAATAACCCATAAATTACAGCGTGACTGCCTCTGCTGTCAGCTTAGTTAGGTACAGGCTAAACACAAACTCCATGATTTAGCTACTTCAAGAGATCACAGAATTGCAGGGCCTGGAAGGGACCTCTAGAGGTCAGAGTCCATCCACTCTGCCACAGGCAGGGCCACCAACATCCACATTCAATACTAAACCAGGTTGCCCAGGGCCCCATCCAACCTGGCCTTGAACACCTCTAGGGATAGGGCATCCACAGCTTGTCTAGCCAGCTGTTCCAGCATTTCACCACTCTCATAGCAAAGAACTTCCCCCTGACATCCAACCTCAATCTCCCCTCCCTCAACTTCAAACCATTTCCCCTTATCCTGCTGTTATCTCCCCTTTCCAAGAGTTGATTCCCCTCCTGTTTGTAGGCTCCCTTTAGGTACTGAAGGCTGCAATGAGGTCACCCCACAGCCTTCTTTTCTCCAGGCTGAACAAGCCCAGCTCCCTCAGCCTGTCTTCATAGTGGAGGTGCTCCAGTCCCCTGATCATCTTTGTGGCCTCCTCTGGACCCTCTCCAACAGCTCCCTGTCTTTCTTGTACTGGGGGCTCCAGACCTGGACACCTCCCCAAGTGCAATACTCTTGTTAAACCCCATCTGGTTCTTCTCTGCCCAGCTCTCCAGTCTGTCCAAGACTCCCTGAATGGCAGCACAGCCTTCAGGTGTGTCAGTCATTCCTCCCAGCCTCTTACCATCAGCACTATCCCCTCATTAAGGTCACTGATGAAGATGTTGATCAGGACCAGACCCAGCACTGACCCCAGGGAACACCTGAGGTCTGAGCTCTGCCAGACAGTTCATAGAATCATAGAATCACCAAGGTTGGAAAAGACCCACAGAATCACCCAGTCCAACCATCCACAAATCACCAGTAGCTCTCACTAAACCATATCCCTCAACACAACGTCCAAACGTTCCTTGAACACCTCCAAGGTCGGTGACTCCACCACCTCCCTGGGCAGCCCCTTCCAGTGCTTGACCACTCTTTCAGAGAACTAGTATTTCCTAACATCCAGCCTGAATCTCTCCTGGCACAGCTTGAAGCCATTCCCTCTTGTCCTATCACTGTTATATGAGAGAAGAGGCTGACCTCCTGCTCACTACAATGAGAGAAGAGGCTGACCCCCTGCTCACTACAACCTCCTTCAAGTAGTTATAGAGAGCAATAAGGTCTCCCCTGAACCTTCTCTTCTTCATACTGAACAATCCCAGCTCCTTCACAGAATGGCCAGGGTTAGAAGGGACCTCAAGGATCATCAATCTCCAACCCTCTTGCCACATTCAGGGCCACCAACCTCCACATTTAATAGCAGACCAGGCTTCCAATGGCCCCATCCAACCTGGCCTTGAACACTTGTAGATCCTTCAGCCGCTCCTCATAAGGCCTGAGCTCCAGACCCCTCACCAGCTTTCCTGCCCTTCTCGGAACACTGTCTTTCTTGCAGTGAGGGCCCAAAACTGGACAAATACTGGAGGTGCAGTCTCACCAGAGCACAGGGGGACAATCACTTCCCTGTTCCTGCTGACCACACTATTTCTAATGCAGGTCAGGATGCCACTGGCTTTCTTGGGCACACTGCTGGCTCACGTTCAGCCGAGCACCAATCAACACCCCCAGGTCCATTTCCTCCACGCAGTCTTCCAGCCGCTCTACCCCAAGCCTGTAGCATTGCCTGGGGTCGTTGTGACCAAAATGCAGGACCCAACATTTGGCCATGCTGAACCTCATCCCGTTGGCTTCAGCCCAGCCATCCATCCTGTCCGCATCCCTCTGTAAGTTCTCAGCCCATCTCCACTCACCCACCCCACGCTCCCCAAGGGCTGCTGTAGGGATGGCAGCACCAAGGCCTTGCTGACACCCACAGGTTTCTCAGCAGCCGGCCCAGGGCAGGGCTGCGTGCTGGGCTGGGGTCCCTGTGCCCCATAACCGTGTGACCGTGGGGATGGGAGCCTTCCTTCCCATCCCCAGCGCTGTGCCGTGGGGCTCGGTGCTAAAAGCCACACACCAGCACTCCGGCGGCGATGGACGCGATGGTGTTCCGCTTCTCTCCCCAGTCCACGCACTCCGAGCACCTCAGGCTCTCCAGGAAGCCGGACATCTTTCAACGCTCTGAGGAACGCAAGAAAACAACAAAACATCACATTTCCGTCACTGGAAAAATCTACCGCGGCTTTAATAGCCGCAACTCAATGCTTCCAACAGGAGAACGGCCCGGTCCCGCCGCCCGGCCGGCACCCCGGGAGGCGCGGAGCCGCCGCTCACCTCAGCGCTGCCGCCGCCCGACGCTCCGCCGACGCGCTCAGTGCGCAGGCGCGACGCTCAGCTGCTGCTTCCCGCCGGCAGTGCGCAGGCGCGTAGAGCGCGGGAGGCCGTCGAGCGGGGACTTCTGCGCATGCGCCGCAGTACGGGAAGGGAGGGGGAGAAGCGGGCGATCGCGCGCAGTGCGCATGCGCGCGTAGCCGGCGCCCTGCCCGCGCATGCGCCGTTCCGTCCGTTACGTAAGCGGGGAGTGACGTTCTGGAAGGTTCGCGGCCGCTCTCAGTCGGCGCTCGGTTCGCTGTAGGGGCGGCCGCGTTTGCGTGGAGCTCTGCGGGTTCGGATCCCGGCGCTTTCTCCGGGCTCGGCCGTTCGCTATGGGCGTGACTCACGAAGCGGGGCTGTCACCTCGGGCGCCGCCGTCGGAGCAGGATCCGTGCGGGGGGGGCGCGGCTGCGTGCAGCGGGTGAGGGGGGGCGAGGAGCTGCTTGGGGCTGATGGGCGGGATGGGGGGTGGGGGGGGAGGAAGGGGGGTGAACTGCGGGGTTGCGGTACGGCCGGCCCTCACTCGCCGTTGTGTCGTTGCAGGAGCGCCGTCGGGTCCCACGGAAGTCAGCAGCGCGGGTGTCCGGCGGCCCCCAGCGGTAAGCGGCCGGCTGCGGCTTCAAGTGAAGCCCTGCTTGGCTTCTGAGCTGTGTGGGAGGGCGGGGGGATTTCGGGGGTGTTCCCCTGCCGTGTGCAGCGCCAGTGACCTTGGCTTGTGCTTAGATGGACTGAGGGAGCTGGGCTTGTTCAGCCTGGAGGAAAGAAGGCTGCGGGGTGACCTCATTGAAGTACCTAAAGGGAGCCTACTAACAGGAGGGAAGTCAACTCTTGGAAAGGGGAGATAACAGCAGGACAAGGGGAAATGGTTTGAAGTTGAGGGAGGGAAGATTGAGGTTGGATGTCAGGGGGAAGTTCTTTGCTATGAGAGTGGTGAGGTGCTGGAACAGCTGGCTAGACAAGCTGTGGATGCCCCGTCCATCCCTGGAGGTGTTCAAGGCCAGGTTGGATGGGACCCTGGGCAACCTGGTCTAGTATTGAATGTGGAGGTTGGTGGCCCTGCATGTGGCAGGGGGTTGGAGCTTCATGATCCTTGAGGTCCCTTCCAACCCTGGCCATTCCTTGATTCTGTGAAGCTTCCTTCAGTTGCTTGAGGAACAGTGTAGAGCTTAATCAGCTCTTACAGCTGGCTTGATAGCTCTTATTGCCAGTAAGCAGTGAATCCGAGGTCAGGGTTCAGCTGGCAAACTTTGAGCTGCAGAGCATTAACACAGTGCTAATAATATAGGTGTACTGAGCAGAGAAGCTGTTTTTATATGCACCCTTAACAAGTCACATCCTTTGGTTCCTTAGCTGTATTTTTTCCCAGGATGTGTAGAATGTGTAAGACCTTACAGGTGTAGTTTAGTAGTGTGATGTGATGATGGTCATTGGTCTTACTTACATAGAACTGTGGAGGTAAAGCATGAAGTCTGTTCTGACCTGGAAGGCAGATTTCTGTTCTGCACCTCCTGCACTTAGAACTGATGCGAGCTTGAATACCTTGAAAACTTTATTTGGGGTAAATAAATAGTACTGATTATCATCTTCTTAACAGAAGTTGTGTGAAGGGTATTAAAGCCAACACAAACCTTGCAAAATTCCAGAGAAAATTACTCTTGGTTTACACTAAAGCCTTCTTAAACTTTCATACAGAATCATAGAATGACCAAGGTTGGAAGAGACCTGTAAGATCATCCTTCTACCACCAGTATCACCTCACTGACCCACGTCCTTCAGCACAAGATGTAGACATTTCTTAACCACTTCCTGAGCAGCGTGTTCCAGAAGTCTGACCACGGAACAGGAAATGATGCTGCTTAAAGCACGCTGATAATTGTCAGGAAAAATTGTCAGCATTTAAACTTGAACTTCTTGCTTGTGTGCTGTGTCGTAATATTTGTTGGTGGTGTATATAGAAATTGCTGTGTGTAAAAGATTTGCTGCTTCATTTGCTACTCTTCTTTCCCCTGCCCAGGAACAGAGACTGGATATTGCAGAACAACAATAAAAACAGAATCAGGTCCTGAAAGTACCTGCAAGGAAGAAGTGGTGGCCAGGAAGAGCAGCGATATGGCAAACTTCATGGATGATTTGACTCTCAATTCACCAAAGAAAACAGAGAATTGTTTGAGATCCAAGAGAAGCTGCGATAGGTCATCATCAAGGTCATCCAGTCGGTCCTCCTGCAGCTCCCAGTCCAGTTCCAGTACGTCGTCTTCAGCTTCCTCCAGGAGCTGGAGCCGGTCCAGATCCAGGTCTAGGGATCGAAGGTACAGATCCCGAAGGTACAGAAGATACTCCCGTTCCTATTCCAGAAGCCGCTCGAGATCTCGTGGCTACACGAGATACAGAGGAAGGTACCACTACAGGAGGTACCACCACACCCCTCCGAGGTACAGATCACGCAGTAGGTCGTGGTCCCGTGGAAGATCCTATTACAGAAGGTCCTATTCAAGAAGCAGGTCACGTTCAAGAGGCAGAAGAAGCTATGGGTTTGGGAGGACGGTGTATCCTGAAGCTTACAGGAGCTGGAGAAGCAGGTCACGAACAAGGTCTCGGAGTAGGTCACCTCTGCACCTGAGTGAGAAAGGTACTGAGACTTTGGGTCTGAGCACTTGAAAACAGGGCTTCTATTAACTAGACAAACTGTAGTCTCTGTAGTTGCTTTATAAAGTGTAAATGGTGATAGCAAATTGAAAGGAGATCTTGGTACGTCTATAAAAAATATATTAAGGGGGGGTGCGGGCAACAGTAAGCAGTTCAGAGCGTATCTGTATTTCAGCTGAAACTAAATCTCCCAAGTTGAGATGAAAATCCAAAGTTGATGCTTCAGTGCAGAATAGCTGCAGTTTTTAGGTTTGTATTGAATGTATACATACCTCATGTTAAACATCAACAACACTCTTCTTTTAGAAAAGAGGGAACTTCTGGAAATTGCGAAGGCTAATGCTGCAAAAGCTCTGGGAACAGAAAACATAGTCTTGCCTGCTAGCTTGAAGATCCGTACTGCTGCTAAGGAGAGCAGCAATATTAAAAAAGAACACGAAGACTCTGGGGATTCAGATGAGGTAAGTATGAACTGGAGTGTTGTGAGTGAAAAGGTGAACACTTAAAGACTTGTGGTCTGCATGGATATGCCACGGTTCTTTTTTCCTTACTGGGGAGTTAGGAGTTTGAACTTTTAATTACTGAACAAAGAACTGAGGTTTACCAGAATGCTAACAAGTGCTGTAGAAACCATGGTAGACTTTGCTTTTCACTGCAAGTACTCTGGATTCTGAAGGGCAGTGGATTCAGGGCCGGGCTGGATGGGGTCCCAGTGGCAACCAGCCCATGGCTGGGGTTGGAGCTGGGTGATCTTTAAGGTCCGTTCCAACCCAAGCTGTGCTGTGGCTCAGTGCTACATGCAGCTTTCCCCTGGTGCTGTAACATTAGGAAGGGGAGAGAATTGTAGTTCTTCCAACTTCTTGATGGTAGTATTTTATTTCGCATTACGGAAAGTATTTTTTTTCTCAACCTAAAACAAGGAGACTCCTTAGCAAACCTGTTACTTTTTTCTTAATTTCTTACCTTTTCTATCAGTTAAAAGCTTTTCATGTGTAATAAACTATTTCCCAGAAGTTACATACCCAAACACACAATGCATTTTACATGCTTTATTTCTGTCTTTATAGAAATCATGACTATGGTTCCAGACATGATGAAGAAAATCTGTTGGTAATTAAGGGTCTCGTGGGCTGTAGCTGCTGTGAATTTAAGGGAGGGAGAAACTTCAGCATCTTAAACTGAGCTCTAGTTTGACTGTGTTCTGTTGTGTTAATCTGATTCATACTAAATACAAAACAACAGTAATTGTTACATCTGTCCAATGCTGCTATTTCAAATGGAAGTAAATTTGCTAAAGGTTTTAGACAAATGGTACAGGCATCCCGTTCATAATATATGCAATATATTCCAGATGTTGAGAGAGTACAGAAGAAGAGGCCTGCATCACTTGCAGATAAGTTTATTGTTGTTATCCAAAGCTCTGCAGGATTAACGTGCAGAACTTCATGCGACTTATTCTGACACTACATTTCATTGTATGGCATTCCATGCTTTGAATCATTTGAACACTCTTTAAAACTGTAACTGGGGCATGGATATCAGGTCCTTGAATTGGCACAAGGACCTTGATTAAAAATACTGGTTTTCAGATTGAACTCAATGCTGATCTATTGGCACATTTAGTAGCTTCTGGCTACTTTTGTTGTAAATATCTGAAACAACAGTACTGGAAAGTTATTAACTTTAAAGGCTGCCTTAACTTGCAGAGAGTGGTGTATCCTCCCACTGAAGTGTTGTGTGCTTTTCTTTAGCAACCCAAAGGACTGACAGAAGTCATAACCAAAAGTGGGATGGAGAGAGCAACTGCACGGAGCATCTCTTTCAGCCCTAATGTAAGTGTGCTTTCCCAAGATGGAAGTCCCATAGTGGATCCCTCCTCTATCAGTCTGCACAGCAGTGATTGCCAAATCAAACATCTTAGTAATGGTAACACCTGAAGGGTTTCACAATTCCTTTCCTGAAGGAGTTGGATCAGTACTGCAGCAGTACAGTACTGTTAAACATACTACAGTAGTGTTTAAAGTGAATGTTGACATTTCTGCTCATAACGTTCAGTGCCTGTGAACTTTTTGTTTCTGGCATACATTTTTACACTGAAAGTTGCATCTTTGGTTATGTTTTAGTAATGCAGAACTGGGGTGGGGTGGTTATTCAGCTTTCTGGATTGGTTAAGTGTGTTGTCAACATAGGTAAATCCCTTGAAGTTGTTGGGTCTTTGTACATTCTTTATCTTCCTAGTGTTTAAAAAATCTAATTTATTTTCCAGAATACAATGGCAAAACCAGTACAACAGAAGCCAGCAAGCCATATTGTTAAAGAGCCATCAATTTCTCCAGGAAGAGAAGATGACAGAAAGGGAAGTCCCTATGGGCAGTGGGTTCCTGTCAAGAAGGAGGAGAAAAAGTTCCTAAACTTCTCACCCAAATGTACGCTGTTCAGAGCACGCTAGGATAGCTCACTGTTCTCAGACTGCAGTATAACAACACCTGGGTAGTGAGGTCTGAAGTTTTCTGATCAGCTTGAGGGCTTGTTAATGTTGAGTATTTATTTTGATATCTTTAATTTTGGAATCTTAGGTTTCTCTTTCAGATGTAAAGCACAGTGATCCAGAAGCTGGATGGAATCTTGTGTATATTTGTAAATATTTTTGTATTGCTTTAATGGACTAGAACTGAACAGGTGGGTAATTTTTTTCTAAAGAATAGCTCAGTAGCTGTTAATTTGAACAGTTAAATTACATTGTGTAACTGTTTACTTCAAGTAAATAAACTTCAGTTTTGCACTGGCATCTGTGTGTCAAGTATTGGACTTTTACCTCTTAAGTGGTTATTTCCAGGTTCAAATTTCATTTAGCCAGTATTGGAAGATGTGAAGATAATTTTGAAGGTCCTCTTGAAAATAGACCTTTATACTGGTATAATTCCTGTCCAGGCTGTGGCAAATTGAGAGTCTGTAGGTAACTGTGGTGGATACCCTTCTGCAAATGAAAATCTATTATTGTGTGTCTGGCTGCCCTGTGGAGAGCCATCACCATTCCACCTTAAGCTTTTCTTTTAATAGCTCTTTATTTCTACAGAATTAAAGATACTGGCATGCTTTAAACCAGAGTGAGAGTTTATTTAGAACGTGACACTGGAGGAGCTGGCTGCTTAGCAAGTAAAGCTTATATACAACTGCAGGCATACACTGTGCAAATCTACTGCATGAAACATACTGGTGATCTCACAAACTGCTTCACCGGGTCTACAAAGTATTTTTCTGATAAGACTTAAAATTGTTTGATAAATCATATTGAACTCTAACAGGTAGAGGGCTGTAGCTTGCACTGTGCTGGATATCCCAGTTCAGACAGCTGTTCCTCTCTCCAAGTTCTGTTTGATCTCAGCTGTGTACTTCCCGTAGAAGCGCTCTGCCTTCTTATTGAACTTGGCATTTCTTTCATTGATGTAGTCAATATCTGCATCATCATTGTAAGGACGTCTCCGGCTGTACTTCTCACGTTTCTCAATTCTGCAAGACAAGCATCAGTGTTCAGAGACCTGTGGGTGGGTCTGTGTACCTACTTAAGAAATGCCATGTGTAGAAATTATCTCATTTACTCACTGTTTTTCAAGATCTGCAACCATTCTGTCAATCCCTTCCTTGTCTGGCACATGAGTTCCATGGAGGAGGCTGTCAGATGTTGGATAGAGTGCTTCACCACTAAGAACAGCGGAAGATGAGCAGCAGTTTATGAAGTTGTACTAAGACACAATTGATTTTTTTAAAATTTAATATTGCAAGGCATTTAACTTCTAACTGTAGGAGTTGAAGATGCAGTGAGAACATGCTGATCCTTAACTATTAATAAACTACTAATAACATGCCTATACAAGATACAGAAATCAGCACTAAAATCTTTATTTGAATGCAGATATGGGAATTTCTAATATGAAAACCTGCTGAACTTCCAAAAATAAAAGCACCAAAGCATTAAAGAAAACAAGTACAACTAAGAAATAGCAAACAACTTGTGCATCTAAATAACTTCACATTGGCAGCAGTGCTGCTTCAAAGCCAGTAATTGTGAGGTTGAAAAGAAAAAAAACTCATAAATTGCAGTGCTGTCTTCTACCTATTGAAGTAGAGGGTGGAAGTATTAGATTATCAAGTAGGTTGTGCATTTCAGAATCATAATAATAGTACATATGAAAACATACACGTGCTGAAAGACTTGTTTAAGTCTTCAGTAGATATTTATGAAACCAGTACTGATGATCAGATGACTGAAGTGGCACTTACTACTGCTCCTTCAGCTTCTCATACTGCTCCAGGTCGGGTTTGATCTGCCTGGTCAGCCTCTGGTACTGCCTCAGCTGAGCAGCTGCATAATCTTTGGAAGAAAACAACTTGCTGTTAAGGTAAAGGCTTTTATTCCGTGATTCACCATGAAATATTAACAAAAACTCATTAAAAAAACAGACAATTGTGTCATTAAACATACCTGAGAATCCTAGATCTGGATTTTTCCTCTTCTTTTTCCTTTCCCATCTCTCTGCATCCTCAGCACTGATCTCTAACAGTTTAACTCTCTCATAGTCTTCTCCTCTTGCTGCACATTCCTAATAGAGCACAAATATCGACCAACAATATAATGCCCATGGATTAAACTCAAAGCTTATACAGATAATCCGGTCAGCTTCTAGTGCAGAATTAATTTATAAATACATCCTCAAGAGCCTCGTTGGGTTTTCTTTGAGGGAATGGGGATTGAGGAAACACAACACAGGGTAACTCCAGTAAAAGCTCTCCAGACTGTCACTGAAAGTGAGTGTCACTGCAGGGTTCCACAAAGCCACAATATGCTCTTCTTACCTTCTTCTTCTCCTCTACCTTCAACTCCCACTCCAGTCTTGCTTTCTTGGCTTCCCAGTTCGGTGGTAACTTGAGCCTTTTGTCTTCCTCCACCACTTCCTGGTGATTCAGTTTGCGAGCCTCATTCTAAGAACAAAACATTTAACACCAAAGTGACGACGCAGCACTGCGTGAGCACAAAAATGACTACAGAAAACAACACCCAGACCCCAGGTGATTGAAGTGGCTCAGCGAGGTGCACGCGTGTGAGCTCTGAGCCCCGGTTCCTGACACAGCACACCAGGCAAAGCACTGCGTTTGACCAAAAGCTACAAAATCCCGCCCCCAACACGGGAATGGCCGAATCGGCCATCGGGAACGAATCCTTGAGGGGCGGCAGCGGCCGCAACCGATCCACACTCACGCTGGATTGAAACCGGCGTTCCCCCATTGCTTCCCCCCGTTACACCGGCAGCACGCGTGTAACCGGCCCGGCCCGGCTCGTACCCGCTTCAAGTGGAGCTCTCGGAACTTCCGCAGCCGCTCTTCTCGCTTCTGCGCCGCCGCCGCCGCCGCCGCGCTGGGCTGCGCCTCGTCCTCCGAACCCGAGGAGCCCTGAAACAACCCCGCTCAGCCACCGGCAGGAAGAAAGGCCGGCAGTCCAGCCCCCAGCCCCCCGCCGCGGCCTCACCCCGTCACCGATATCCCCCAAACCGCCCAGCGCCGACACGGCCGCCGCCATTCCGCACTGCAAGCACTTCCGCTTCCGCCCCCAGCACCAACTTCCGCTTCCTCCCACACAGCGTCTCCCTTGGGCTGTGCTCGAGCGCCCCCCGGCGGGCGGGAGGTACCAGCGCCCCGGCCGGGCTGGCTCCTCTTCCTCAGGGTCGGGTTGTGCGGCGAGAAGAGCGGGCTGAAGGCTTCGTCACCTCGTGGTGCGAGCTGGAGGGCGATCTTAAAATTCCTGCTGTGCTCCAAGCACCGATAGATGCCGGGCGGGCAGCCCGAAATTACCGTGTGTTTAATGAACACGGCTGAATCAACGTATTTATACGTATTCTCCTTGCTGGGGAATCAGTGCGGCGATGCAAAGCTTTGTGAGGAAGCAGCTCGTTGGGTATTGAGATGCTCACAGACACACAGCCCTGCGTGCAGCACTGCACAGCCAGAAGCTCCGCACTCCGAAAGGTTCAGAGCTGTGTTACACGTCGATGTCCTGAGCTCAGCCTTCCTTCCAGCAGAGGGAAACGCAGCACCGGCGGTGATGGCTGTGGATTGGAGGCGGCTCTGGTGCACACAGCCATCTCTGTTCTCTTTTAACTTCAGTTTCTGCCGTTGTCAAACTCCGGTTCACGCCGAGCGGTCAGAAATATCAAACACGTTGTTACACGGCGAGGAGGAGAGGGAGGAAACCCAACGGTGCTGTGGAGATGAGCTGCCATCTCATAGATGGCCCCACCGACTGCATCTCAGTGCTTGTGCAGGAGAACGGCGGATCTGGCCCTGCTCCTGCGCCCTCATTTGGTGCTTGGCTTCAGAGGCCACGTCTGTCCCTACCACGTGTGGGAACTGCCCACCAGTTTCAGATCATAGAGCTTTTAGGGGGATGTGTCAACCAGCAGCTCCCCGTAAAGGACTGTCCCTTATGGAGCACCCAGGAAATGTCCTGTGACACCTGAGCTCTGGGTCGCTCCTCACCCCCTCCAAGCAGGAGATAACAGAGGCTGAGCAGCAGGGAAGGAAGGCAGCTGAGCTCCGTAACAGAGGGGTGACCCTCTGCAAAGTGGGGCCATTCCTTTTTATTTAATCACAGAAAAATGAGTGGCTTCTGTGTGTTGTGCAGTGCCTTGACCCAGCCAAGCCCCGAGCTCAGTGCAGCCCTTTTCCCTTCCCACTACCATCATACAGTTATAGCAGAAACTCAAGAGGTTTTCCTGGTTTGTGCACATGCACTTCTAGGTCCGATGCCAGCCCAGGGAGCCCAACTCCTGGTGCAGGTGCTGAGTGTGTCCCCGGCTTGATGACACCGCTGCAAATCACAGCCTGGCATGAAAGAGCAGGGAATGCACCCAAAGGGATGGGCCCTGTGCAGGCTGACAGTGAGTACATGCAGATCTGCTCTCGCTGTCATTTACAGTTAATTTATTTTTAGATTTCAAAAATGTTTTTATTTCTCATGTGCACAGAATTGGCTCTGCTTTTTTGGGTTGTAACTGACTCCATTGTCTTCTCAAGTTATGCCTCCCCTGCAGTGCCGAAATGAAAAATTCCAGTTACACATTGTACAGGGGATGGGAGCTCGGAGGAACTGACTCATCTTGGTTATATTTGTCTTTTTCAAAGGGGAAGGTCCTGTTCGAATGAGGGATGGTGGGGGAACAGCATCATTTATCTCCCACCCACTGTAGGAACCCTGAGGTTGTCATTAGGGGTCCATAGGGTGCACAGCTGAGTGCCCTCTGTGTGTGCACCCCAGTGTGTTCACAACTTGGAGCTGTTGGGGTTGCTCCAGCAGTCCGGGTAGCAGCATGTGGAGCTGTTTCTCAGAAAAACAGCAGTGGCTCCAGCATGACAGAGGCCACCACGCGCTCCCCAGGACGCAGCCAAGCCTGCATGCCCTGTAGGTAGTGAGCCCTGGATCTGAAGACAGTTCCCACTCACAGGGCTTGGCTGAGCCCTGGGGAGGCTGCCACTGCTCCTGGCGTCATGGAGAGTGTGAGGGCAGAGCCCAGAAGGGTTCGTGCCATTCGTCTTCATGCCAAAGAGGCAGAAAGGGAAGATGCTGCTGGTTCCAACTGCAGCAGTTTTTATGCAGGGAGGAAAAACACACACTGTGGTTTAAGCGAGGTGCTGCTGTATGCCCAGCTCTCTCTGCCCAGGTGGTGCTTAAAACCCTTCCATTCTCCTGAGCTGGGGCACCATGTGTTGGTCAGCATCCCTGCCCACAGTGACAGC